TTACTGGGGAAATACAAATTAACACTAATAGCTAGGCATGGTGGCACATGCCTGTAATCCCAGCAGTTTGGAAGACTGAGGTAGAAGGATCACAAGTTCAAAGCCAGCCTAAGCAACTTAGTGAGGGCCTCAACAACCTAGCAAACCCTGTCTCTAAAAAAAAAAGGTGGGGGGGATGTAGCTCAGTGGTTAAGCGCCCTTGGGTTCAACCCTTAGTACCAAAAATAAATAAATAAATTGTAATTTTATGTGTATTTTATCATATTATACAAAATTGGGGGGGGGGAAATAAAAGGTGCTAGACAGTGGCCAGTGGGGGCAGGGTCAACATCTAGGACCATGCAAAAGACAAAGGGGCCAATGAGTTGACAGGCCAGGGCACTGGAAAGACCCTCTATAATTCAGGTACACACTGAAATCATTTAGATGGTAAGGAAATGCCATATCTCTAATAAAGATGCTAGGAGTAATAATGCAGAGAATGATGGTCTAGTGCTAAAAATTTCAATCTATGGTTATGCAAAAATAGGGCAAAAATAATCTAAATGCCCAACCACTATAGTCAGATATTCATGAATATTAAAAGTTTGATATGCAGTCACTAAAAATATTTTAAAAGACGTCAACTTGGAGATGTCCTCTTTAAAAAATAAGATACAAAAGTATGTAGCAGGCTAGTAGTTTGCCTAGCATGCCTGAGGCTTTGGGTTCTATAGCTAGCACGGCAATAATTGCAAAAACAACAATGAAAATATACAGATATACACTTTGAATCCCATCAAAATTAGGATTTTTCTTTTACAAAAGACAAGATGAGAAAAGATATTTGCAATAGCAAAAACAACACAGGCTTAATATTTAAGAGAATCAAAGGAATCTTGAAAATTCACAAGAAAAAAACCTGAAAGGACTAAAAATGGCCGTTACTTTTTAAAAAATGGTGTTAGTGGCTGTTAATGAAAAATACATCTTAAAATGATTATGAGATTCCACTTTACAGCCAAGAAGTTTGTGGAAGCCGGGAGGTGGAGGAATCACTAGGAAGAATCACTAAGTAAACGATGACAGATGTGTAACAGGTAATGCTAGGCCACAATCTAAATAATGTATCAAGTGTGTACCAGAAGAGAGCTTATACATGCAATGGCTTGCAAAAAAGAAAGAACACACTCTAGAGGACAGTAACGTGTATAAAAATGTTGCATACAGGGCTGGGGTTGTGGCTCAGTTGTAGAGAACTTGCCTAGCATGTGTAAGGCACTGGGTTCAATCCTCAGCACCACATAAATACATAAAATAACAGTATTGTATCCATCTACAACTAAAGTATTTTTTTAAATGTTATGTACATTGTGATTTAAACACTGTGTCTAATTTAAAACACGATCTACAGAGGAATGATGTGGGACCATGAAAATAACAACAGAGGGATAGGGAGACACCATGTGGACACCGAGAGGGAGTGGGTTGCTTGGTGGGGGAAACGTGGTATTCGATTTGGGGGTTCCGGAGCTGACCTAGGATCCAGACGTATGTCTGGAGGTTCTCCCATGGTAATGGGTCCTAAGGGCGGCTTGAAGACTTAGGAAAAGGTGGAGTACCCCGCACGTGGGCAAACTCTCAGCAGATACGTCGGGCCAGGGATGGTACCACTGGGCTCACGTTGCGATCCATGAGCAGGCTTTTGCAGTTGCCTTCCGAACAAGGCCAAGAGCGCAGACGCAGTGGACAAGCATTGCCCTGGCCTAAAGAGGGGATGCACGCAGGTTCCCCCATCCACAACTCCTGGAGTAATGTTCAACAAGACTTCGGCCCAACCTTGCGCGCCAGGACACGCGTATGAATCGTGATCCTCCCCGGGCCCTTACGTCCCAGAGCCGGACACCTCTCCAAGTGGAACGCAGCAGCCTGCCCCACTCGCGCCTGCGTGTTGTGCTCCTCGCTGAGCCCGCCCCCGTGCCCCGCCTCCGCAAACCTCAGCCCTTACAGGATGGCTCGGAGGCCGCGCCCGGCGGGCCAGCCAATGAAAGTGCGGCGCGCCCCGCGGCACGTGCATCCCTATCCCGCTTGGCAGGGTGGGATCCGGCCCATCCTAGTGGCGTGGAGCTCACCGGGCGGGGGCGCGCGAGATGGGGCGGGGCGCGGGCGGGGTGGTGCGCTGATTGGCCGGCGCAGCGTTCCGGGGCCGTTAACGGCGGCTGGGCCCGGCAGCTGCTCCAAAACAAAGGGCTGGCGGCCCGCGGGGCGGCGGCGGGAGGATGCCTCGCGCTTTGCCGAGGCGCCAACGGCCGCAGCGCGTCCCGGGCCACGCCGGGGCCGCCTGAGAGCAGAGCCCGCGCTGACCTGACCGAGGCCCGGGCCGGATGGGCGCTGCGGGCCGGGGCACGGACCGCGGAGCGGCCGTGAGTACTGGCGGGCCTCGTTACAGTTGCGCGGGCGGTTACTTTGTGGCGACCCTAGGGTACTATGGTTGCGGGCGGGCCTGGGAAGCACCTGTTGGGCGTGCGGGCGGGCGGGCAGGGGCACGAGAGAGGTGGATCCGTTGACTTTTTTGTTCTGTTCTCATTTTCGGGTGTGTTGATATTTGGTTCACTCCATTTGGAAATACACCACAAAGCCTAATCTTTGGTTTTCCCCGCCTTCTCTCCACCTCCCCGCCTCTCCCGGCCCCTTGCCCGCCCCACCATGCAGAGGTTTACTGGACATGAACTAGATACCTAGTGTTTTTTTTTTTTTCCTTTCCTTTTTAAAAAAATAAAAGCCGCAATTGAGGAAATAAGAACAAAAGATGTCTCCAATGAAGGATTGTTTATTGCTAGGGGGACGTATTTTCAAGTTGCCCACACGAAGATCATAATTAAAATTAATTGTCCTTGGTGTTTACCACTTGTGGCTGTAGACTTTATAAATGCAGAGATTGCAAAAGCCAGAGCTTGAGAACCCTACGAAGTAGGAGCCCCCACCCTCCCTTACCTGCTGTTGATTGACGTCTTTGATGTCTAAATTGTGTGCTCAATTCTAGTACAGAAATAAGGCCAAAATTCCTTTTCAGATAGATAGGTTATGGACACGAAAGACATCAGTTTCCCCACCCCAAACCCTTTGGGTTCCGTTGCATTTCTTTCTCTATCCAAAACGTACAGGCGTGGCCAGAATGTTATTCTTTCCATCCATCAGCCGCCGAGCCCCACCCCCCTCCTAAATTTCTCAAGTGCTCAAGCCAATCTTACATTCTCTGTGAAACCTTACTATTTGCTTCACCTGCCAAGCTGCCATCTCCCATCACATACATACCCTTTAGCTTCTGCTGTTTTCTAGTAAACATAGCAAATGTATGCTGAGCACTTGTTCCATGCCAGAAGCTGAGCTTGATCCTGGTACCATTGAGTCTTATAATCATACACTGGTTGCCCCATTATTAGCCGAAGGCTCTAGGAGGACATTGTTTGGTGGCATGTTTGAGGAATGCTGATGCTCAAAACCTATACTTTTGTGCACATCCATTTGTACCCTATATGTTTAGAGTGGCTTCTCCTTAAGGGACTAGAGCAAATTCCTGCCATACCACATACATGTACTAGCACAGGATCTGGCCAATCCTAAGGTGCTTAAAATAATAATTGAATTATCTTAGTTACCAATCTGAACAATAATCTTTGTTTTTGATGCTGAGGTTGGAATCTAGGGCTTGTACATACTAGTCAAATATTCTATCACTGAGCTACACACCCAGCCTGTTTTTTTTTTAATATTTATTTTTTAGTTGCAGTTGGACACAATACCTTAATTTTATTTAATTTTTATGTGGTGCTGAGGATTGAACCCAGGGCCCTGCACATGCTAGGCGAGTGCTCCACCACTGAGCCACAACCCCAGTCCCCCCCCCCCAGCCTATTTTTAAAATAAACTTATTTTAGAAAAACTTAACAGATTTCCATAAAAATTACAAAAGAGCTGGGGTTGTGCCTCAGTGAAAAGAGTATGTGCAAAGCATGGGTGAAGCCCTGGGTTCAATCCCCGGCACCAAAAAAAAAAAAAAAAAGTTGTAAAGATAGTGCTGTCATTTCCACTATACCCCTCATCCAGTTTTCCCTAAAGTTAAACCATCCTACCTTGCTGTGGTATATTTGGTCAAATTTAAAAAAAATAATTAGCTGGGTACAGTGGCACACACCTGTAATTCCAGCAGCTTGGGAGGCTGAGGCAGGAGGATCATAAGCTAGCCTTGGCAACTTAGCGAGGCCCTAAGCAACTTGGTGAGTTGCTCAAAATAAAAAATAAAAAGGAGTAAGGATATGGCTCAGTTTTTAAGCATCCCTGGGTTCAATCCCTGGTACCAAAAAAAAAAAAAAATTAAAAACTGGTCTGGGTCCATTCTTTAAACTCCAAACATTAAATCTTTGCATTTTTGAAGCACCAAAGTTGCTAAAGCTGTTTCTTTGTGTTGAGACCAGTGTTCCTGTAATATCTATCCTTTGATTCCTGTTTCTTTTCACTGAGTTCCACAAGCATCTTGTCAAAGAGCAGGGATGGAGAGGGCAAAGGACTGCTGTGAACTTTTAGTGTATTATTTTCCCTGGGAAGGCTGATAAATGCACTAAAAGTTGTTTAGAATATGAAGAAGTAGAAATCCTCCCTCTTGCTTGCTTTCCAGCATGGGTGATCCAACCCCGGGCCTCTGTATACTATGTGAGCACCTCAACTGAGTCCTCCTGCTTTAAAACTATTCATTCTTTCACTCTTTTTTTTTTTTTTTTTAATGAGTAATTAGATCTGACAATCAGTGATGCCTCTAGAGAGTAGGAATTTTTAAATTTTTACATATGTATTTACTTCGCTGGGGATTGAACCCAGGGCCTTATGCAGGTATTCCACCACTGAGCTAAATCCCCATCTAAGAGTGCAAATTTTGTCAAGAGAATTTTTTGGGGGGCGGGGGTACCAGGGGTATTGAACCTAGGGGTGCTTAACCAGTGAGCTACATCCCCAGCTCTTTATATTTTTATTTTTCTCCCTAAGTTACTTAGGGCCTCACTGAGATGCTGAGGCTGGCTTTGAACTTGGATCCTCTTGTCTTAGCCCCCCAGCCGAGTCGCTGGAATTACAGACATGTGCCACCAGGCCCAGCTTGACAAGGGATTTGAGTTAAAGTTGGAAAAAGTTCTGAATACAAGACATGGAGAGCTAAGAATAATGGGGTGGGCAGTGTGAGATGGATTCAGGAAAGATGTCAAGGGGACAAAATTAATTCTGCCAACCTCCTATGAGAGAGACACTGTTCTATTGAAAACCTATCATCGGGTGAAAATAAAATGGGAATCCTGGAGCTAATCCACAGTTAGGAATACACCAGGAAGGACTCAAGAGACCGTACTCCCCATTATTCAGCAGGTCCTCTGATACCTTCAGGACTCTGGGATGAGGGCCAAGATTCCTTGTGCGGTTTGTAAGGTATTGAGCTTGCTAGTCCTTTGCCTTGCTGTAACAATGACAGTATGTTCCTATTGTGAGGCATTTGCCAGGCATTTTGAACTATGACCAAGGACCACCTTCCTTAACACTGTGATTCTGTGGGCAGCCATATGAATTACATATTACCCCATGTTATAGATAAGGAAACAAAGATTGATTTAAGGTCCCAGAGCCAACAAATATACGGCATATTTTGTATGGAACCCTGGGAAACCTCTCAAGAGTCAAACCCTCTTTCAGCTTTGTCCAGTGGAGGTATATCTCTGTGGTAAATCTCACCTGCTCATGCTTATGTGGTACCCTTTGACTTCCCAGTGTTATTGGCATACACTCCCCTGAGCATAGGGCCCTTTTGTAGTTCTTTGTGACTCTGGCCTTTCTCTTCCCTTGACAAAAGACAGGGCTTTGAATGTTTTATTATATTTTATTCAACATGTGACTAAATAAAATAGTTTAAAATTCCCAGCCTCTTCCCTTCCAATTCAGCCTTCTGGGGCAGCCTGTGTGTACTTCCTACTTCTTCCCCATTTTAATTCTTTGCAAGGAAACTAGACACTTCTGCTAGAATATGTATCAGGTCTATGGCTGTTGCAAACTTACTAGTGGTAAAAATAAGAAGGAATGCATTTCAGATTCTTTGGAAAGAGAGACTGAGTGCAAGCACATTATCTATAGTTTTGTGGGAAATATGCAGGACTTGAGCATGGTGAGAGGAGAGATGGAAAAAACAGGTCTTAAAGCCAGAGGTGTCTGGACCACTGGGTGGTGGAGGTGCCAGACACCCTTGGTTCCCTAGATAATGGGAGCTGTTGAGAGACCACAGCAGATCAAAGGAGCTCCTTCTTAAGGCAGTTATGTAATTGGTACTTCTTGCCCCTCCCAGTGGGACCTGTGGTCCACCAAGGCTGCAGTATCTGAAATGTGGAGAAAGCCTATTATCCTGTGATTCATGAAGGAAGGAAGTGGATATGTGTTTGCAGAGGGAAACTGTTGTTATGGATAAGGAAATGCAGCAGCTCCTAAGACAAACGGTATTAGTGCTATTAACCTTTGATATAAATCCTTCCAGACCTTTCCCTGCCTGTGAGTGCATGTACTCTAAGGGTGATTTTTGTTGTTGTTGTTGTTGTTGTTGTTGTTGTTTAAATATTTATTTTTTTGGGTGTAGATGGACACAACACAATGCCTTTATTTTTATGTGGTGCTGAGGATCGAACCGAGTCCCGCCTGTGCTAGGTGAGCACTCTACTGCTGAGCCACAATCCCAGCCCCTCTAAGTATGATTTTGAATAGTCAGTGCATACTCTTGGCATCAAAATGGAAAGGTACGAAAAAGCAAAGAGAGGGACTGGGGATGTGGCTTAGTGGTAGAGCACTTGCCTAACATGCACAAGGCCCTAAATTCAATCCCCAGCACCACAAAAAAATAAAATAAAGCAGACAGTGGAAAAAAAAAAAAAAGTCACCTTTCTCTTCCCTTCCAGTCTCTAGCTGAAGCCTCACATTTGAAGTGCTTCTGATACATGCTTATTAGTGCATTTGGTCAGTCTTTTGATTAGACTTGAAGTGGCTTCTAATTTGAGATTATTGCAGGCAAATTGTGACTACTTATATCCAGGTATTTGCACATGAACAAGACAGTCTGAAGGTGAACTCCTGGGATGGACCCTCCAGTGTTCAGAGGTGCATGCCCAAGAATGCTAATGGGAGTTGCCAAACAGATACAGCAGTGTTATCAACTTTTTCCCCCCACTAAAGAGATAAAGTCTTGCTATGTTGTCCAGGTAAGCCTCAAATTCCTGGGCTCAAGTGATCCTCCCACCTCAGCTTTCCAAGTAGCTGGGACCACAGGCATACACCACCATGCCCAGCTCAAATATTTTTAAGCTATTGCCAACCTGCTAAGTGTAATAAAGCTATCAGTGTGCTGTCAGTCTGCATTGATGAGTGAAGTTGCACATCTGTTTGTGTGTCTACAGGCGCAGTGATCTAGGCTTTGGACTCCCTCGCTTTGAATCCAGCTCCACAGCTTACTGTGCAGCTTTGAATAGGTTGGTTAATCTTTCTGGGCCTCAATTTCCCCATCTGCACAGTGGGACTAAGAACAACACATATCTCTTAGGATTACTGTTAACTTGGGTGATTCTTATGCAGTAAAATTCTTTGAATAGTGTAGGCATTGACTATTAGGCTCTTTAGGAGCTGCTGCATTTCCTTATCCATAAGCTGGCAGTTATAATTATCTGTTGTCCTTTTCTCTGTGATGGCAAGTTGACTTTTTACCTTTTGGATCCCTAAAACAATGCTATGTTAGTGAGTGGTGGGAAAGGGAAGCCAGCAGCAGAGAGGCCTTTTCCCCTGAAGAAGGAAAGGCCTTAGAGCTGGAACTTCTGGGACAGAGCAGCTTTGGAGGAAGGAGTGAGGTTGGGAAACCTCTTCTGCCTCTCATCAGTCACTCCCCCCTGGGAACAAGGACCTAATGTCCCTAGCACATATCACCTGTCTGAGAGCCAACCTTCTTTATGAGCTCTGGCTTACATGGCAAGGCCACACGAGTACACATCATGTCTTTTTTTTTTTTAAATAAGTTGTCGATGGACCTTTATTTTATTTATTTTTATGTGATGCTGAGAATCAAACCCAGTGCTTCACACATGCTCAGTAAGTGCTCTACCACTGAGCTACAACCCCAGCCCCACATCATGTATTTTTTGAGCAAAATGTTCATCCCTTTACTTCCTGGAACTCTGTATATCAGGCATACCTGTGATTTCATGGTCAAGTCCAGCAGAGACCCCAGTTCTAGTTAATTCACACGTTCATTCTTCTTCTTTTTTTAATATTTATTTTTTTAGTTGTAGTTGGACACAATACCTTTATTTATTTATTTTTATGTGGTGTTGAGGATCGAACCCAGGGCCCCACACATGCTAGGCAAGCACTCTACCACTGAGCTGAGCCACAGCCCCAGCCCCCACACACTCATTCTTTATGTGCCTGATATCCTTTCACCTCACAACTTAGAAAACTTTGGGGGTAAAGTTATGGGAGGGGCCCAATTTATTTACCAGGAAGCAAAAGTAAAACTTCACAGGGACTAGAAAGAACCAGAGCTGTGATTGACATGAGGTAGGGGGTGAAAGAGAACAAAGTGCCCATGGCCCAGGCAGTCTGCACCGCATCCCATAAAGAGTCAAAAGCTGCTGGTATTTGGTATCATTCCTCAGTGTTTCTGTCTTTAGAAGTGTGGTAACTGCACCATATGGACATGGACCTGATTCACATTCTCTTAAAATAATTTCTGTGCTTATTTTTGGAGAGGAACTTCTGGAACCCAGAACAATGTTTTTACTCAAAAAACTTACCCCACATCAATATCTTTCAAGGGGATGGTAGTTGCCCTCCAGACTTAGAGGATCACAGTTTTTATTTGCTTGTTTTGTTTTGTTTCTCAAAGTGTTTCACTGTTCCCCAGGCTGTTCTCAGATGTGGGCTCAAGTCGTCCTACCACCTCAGCATCCCAAGTAGCTGGGACTACATGCATGTACTATCATGCCCAGCTTTCCAATGGATCCTGTTGTAGAAGCCCATTTGTACATTAATTGTTTGAAAACTTGACCATGATTTCCCCTAAAGTGACAGTGAATGTCTGATTTAAAAGCATATTTAAGGGCTGGGCTGCTGTTCAATGGTAGAGTGCCTGCTTAGCATGTGTGAGAGACACTGGGTTCTCTTCTCAGCACCACATATAAATAAATGAATAAAATAAAGGTCCATCAACATCTAAAAACATTTTTTTAAAACATCAGATTTAAGCTAAGCATGGTAGCACATGCCAGTAATCCCAGCAACTCAGAAGGCTGAGGTAAGAGGACTGTGGGTTCAAGGCCAGCCTCAGCAACCTAGTAAGACCCTTAACAACTTAGTGAGACCCTGTCTCAAAAAGGATTGAGAATGTAGCTCAGTGGTAAAGCACTGCTGAGTGCAATCCCCAGCTTAAAAACAAAAAATAGTCAAAGACTGGAATGGTGGTTGCCTGAACTGGGAAAAATGGAGACTTATTAATTGATGGGCATAAAGTTTGAATTAAGGTAAAAGAAATAAGCTGGAGAGATCTGCTGTATAGTCATCATACTATAGTCAACAGTGTACCTTGTGCATAAAATTGAAAGGGTAGATCTCATTTTAAGTATTCTTACCACAATTAAAAAGAGTGCTATTCCATTAGAAGGTAATGAAGAGTTTAAAATGAGGGGTATTGGCCTTTCTGTGAATAAAACTGCTATCATCTGTTCAAAACCAATGAATAAAGTGAAAGGTAGTTTCTGTAGCTGTCTATTCAGGTCACTTTAGTGCTTCGCCACAAAAGACCTGAATAACCAGTTTTCGAGTAAGATTCCTATCCCTGAAGGCCCTTCACTTCATACCATTATAATTAAGTATGTTTATTAAAGGAAAATCCAGGGAAAGGAGAGAAGAGAGAAAACAGAAATTTATTTAATGTCATTTCAATAGAAAAATGTGGATAAAAATGTTAAAACAAAGATTCAACATGAATTTAATAAGTAGAACCAGTACAAGTTCATTCTTTTCTTATTGATGGAACATGGATTTGAATATACTACTGGCCAGCTCTCTTTTCATGTCCTCATGGAAGGTTGAGATACATGGGAAAAGGAGTGGAACCAGGAGATGGAACTGGAATCCATGTAAGGTGGTATCCAGTTAACACTTGTCTCCATGACCTCCTGGGGCATGTCAGAGTTTATCAAAGATGGGAGGGAGGCCTGGATTCAAATTCATGAAGGATCCAATAGGTCCTAGCAGCACAAAATCTACAAAATGTAAAGTTTTGAGCCTACATTTGAGGTCTTGAATCTTGATAAATTCTTGAATCTAAAGAAATTCAGGGGAAAATTCAGGATTGGCACAACATAATAGCAGTTCATGGGGGAAAACAGTTAAGGGTTGGGAATTATCAGTTGGGAATATCCAATATAATCAGACTTCTTCAGGAATTAAAAAAAAAAAAAATTTTGGTACTGTGGAATCCAAGGGCTCTCTACCACCAAGTTACATCCCTAGCCCTTTTTATTTTTTTTATCCTGAGATAGAGTCTCACTAAATTGTTCCAGGCTTGCCTTGGACTTCAATCCTCCTGCCTCATCTTCCTTAGTACCTAAGATTACAAGTGTGTGCCTTCGTGCCCAACTATAGTTTGTGGGGGGTACCAGGGATTGAACCCCCAGGATCGCTTAACCACAGAGCCACATGCCCAACCCTTTTTTATTTTGAGACAGGGTCTAACTAAGTTGCTAAGACTGTCTTTGAACTCGGGATCCTCCTGATCCTCAGGATCCTGAGCGGCTGTTATTGCAGGCATGCGCCACCATGCCTGGCGTACAGTTTCATCATCATCATCATTATTATTACTATTATTATTATTTTGGTACTGGGGATTGAACCCAGGGGCACTCCCACTGAGCCACATCCCCATCCCATTCTTGTATTTTATTTAGAGACAAGGTCTCACTGAGTTGCTTAGGGCCTCACCAAATTGCTGAGGCTGGCTTTGAATTCACGATCCTCCAGCCGCAGTCTCCTGAGCTTCTGGGTGACACCACACCCGGCCCAGTTTCATTATTATACTAGCTATGGCTTTATTTTATTTTATTTTTCTATTTGGGATTGTTCACTTCTTAGGTCTATAAATTATTCTTTCTTCAATTCTGGAAATTTTTCCATTATTAGTTATTCTGACTTATCTTCAGTTAACTAATTCTCTTTTTAGCTGTCTTATTCCTGTTAAACCTATTGTGCTTTTATTTTTAATTTCTTTTTTAGTTGTCAATGGACCTTTATTTTATTTATTTTTATGTGGTGCTGAGGATTGAACCCAGTGCCTTACACATGCTAGGCAAGTGCTCTACCCCTGAGCCACAACTGCAGCCCAAACCTATTGTGTTTATTTTATTTTATTTCTACTCATGTTTTTCTCCAGATCTACAAGGTTGTTTTTATTTTTGTGGGGGGTGGTTCCAGGCATTGAACTCAGGGGCACTCAACCACTGAGCCACATCCCCAGCCTTATTTTGTATTTTATTTAGAGACAGGGTCTGAGTTGCTTAGTGCCCCACTATTTGCTGAGGCTGGCTTTGAACTCGTGAGCTGCCTCAGCCTCCGAGCTGTTGGGATTACAGGAGTGTGCCACCGAACTCAACTACTAGGTTATTTTTTTCAATTATTATTATTATTTTTTTAGTTGTAGATGGACACAATACCTTTATTTTACTTATTTTTATGTGGTGCTTATACATGCAAGTGTCTCATACATGCGAGACGAGTGCTCTACCACTGAGCCACAACCCTAGCCCCTACAAGGTTATTTTTCTTGTTGGCTGTTCCCTACATATATTTTTGTTTTTCCTTCCTTCTGTCTTTCTTGTACTGGGGATTGAATCCAGGGGTACTCTACTTCTGAGCTATATCCTTAGCCCTTTTTATTTGAGGCAAGATCTTGCTAAGTTGCCCACTCTGGTCTGGAACTTGCAGTCTTCTTGCCTCAGCTTCCCAAGTAGCTAGGAATTGAACCCGAGGCCTCACATATTCTAGGCAAGTGTTCTACACTGAGCTACTCCCCCAGCCTGCCTGATTATTTTTAACTCTGTTACTCATTTAAAAATTACTTGTGGGGATTTCTAAAGTCTGGAAATACAGCTACTTCCTCCAGACTAGATTTATGCTTATTTCTGGCAGGTACCTCAACTAGGTTCTTAGAACCTTCTTACTGATGGGATTTGGACTGTAAATTCATTTTAGGGTTATCTTATGCTGACTACTTTGTAGAGTGGGTATCCTCATCAGACTCTGCACCTAAGGCTGACCTTAGACTTGTAAACAGAAGCTCAAGTTTGCTGAATTTGGGCAAATGCGTTCAGAGCATGAGCAACTGCCATGCTTAGCTCATTCCTCTGGGTTCTCCCTTCCTAGAGGGAGCCAGAGTGTTCCTCACTATCTTGTAAACCCCTTTATGCTTTGAAGAAAATGTCCT